AAGTACCATCCATTCATTCAATCCACCAACATGTCATCCATCCATATCTATCGCCTTCAACCTATCTGGTTCAAAGTCAAGGCGGCTGGAGCCTATCCCCGGTCTCATAGGGTTAGAAGCAAGACACACCTCTTGATAGATAACCACTTTATAATCATGATTACCTAACATACATGTCAAAACATGTCATAGAGTACCAGAAAAGGCTAGGAGCAACGCTAATAATCATAATGTTTACAGACAGTTTACTGAAAATCTGGACACTCATGTAAATAAACATTGAGGGAATTACACACCCCACCTCAAGGGCGGGTCTGACATATAATTAAAAAGCAGCAAGACAACTCCTCTGCATTATAATAGTACAACAACTTGTGCTTTTTAAATGTGAAAATATCAGGGTTTGTAGTAAGCTATTATATTCAACCTGGAGACTAATGTTAATATGTTTGATTTAATCGTCGTTTTATGCCTACAGATGCATCCAGTCACATCTGGATCTGAATCCAGTTGGTTACAGTTGGTTAGACCAAGCCTCCTCTCATGACGATGGAAACTGTTTAACCATTTTCATCATTTTAACCCTGGAGAACCCATGGGGTCAAATTTGACCCCATGGTTTCCCTAGAAAACCAATGGGGTCAGAGCCGACCCCATTGGTTTCCTAGGGTTAAAATAAAATAACAAAGGTTCAAATAACATCATACAATGCAAATTTATATTTTAGGTTTATTTTAAATTAGCTTAGGCTAAAAAGGCTAGCAGGTAGAGTGAACTCAATGACCTTTCCAGTTTAGTTAATCAAAAGATGATGTGTTCATTTTCAATTCCTTGGATAATTGGTTAATTTTCTGTCAATCAAATGTTCTTTGGTTAACAACACCCCTAACTGACTATTCTGTACACATAAAATATATAAAAAAAAATGATAACACGGACCAGTTTCTAAATTATAGTTGAATGAGTGGTGTAATAAGAACAGACAGTTCTTTAATACTGAACTGAGAGACATAAGAAGAACCAAACATGGATAAATGAGTGCCAACATTAATAGTTCCATCAAAAAAAATAACCTCGAGTACCAGACTGTCGTCAGTTTTGGAACTTTTCTGGTGCTGTGGTCTCTTTTAACCTGATCCAATGAACCACGCAGAGTGGCTTCCCTCGTCAGTCTACCATTTAGTAAACAGGTTGTTGGGGACAGGCCACACCACATGCAGCCAGTTAGAACCAGCATTTAGCTTGCTGTTCCATCAGACACCCAGCCAGTCAGCTATCAGGCCGTCCTGGCTTTTCAGCGGCAGCTTAGTGGGGGATCAGGGAGCTCCACACTGTCAGCAACTCTCAGACAGCAGCAACAGACACGCTGCAAAGCTGAGCAACATTCACACGCTCCAACTAAACCCACAAAACAACATGAGTTTCAAACATTACACAGACAAAATAAAGCCTGAGGACATTTAAAGACATGCATCGCATGGTGTCTGACTCATAAAGCCACACTAAGCATGGATACACGCACACATTAATATATGCTGGTCCCTCATATAGCCGCTCTGACAGCTCAGTCACACGACGGCCTTTCCCCCACCTCCCAGAAGAAGCAGGTCTATAAAACAAGCCAGGACACCAGACCCGGTTGCTGGGCAGAACACACTACAGACACACGCCACACTGAGCCAATAAGAGGCGTGCTCCATCACAGCAGATGTCATTATTGGTCCACAGTGAGCCCTGATGAATTTTTACCACCTGTCTGATGCCAACGCTTACTTACGGCATGGTGGTTGATGACGTGTGTATCGCTTCCAAGGCTCAAATGTGCTTTAGCGAATGGCTGTATTCATAAACTGAAAATGAAAAAAAGAATTAACTCAAGGCTGCTCTCTCTAGAAACTTAATTTGATGCTAATAAACCTTCTTTTACACACAGACAAGAAAGCTATCCAGTTTTATTGCACAGACGAGCGAGCACTGACAGCGATAGTTTGCAGCCCAAACAGTGAAATATAAACAAGTGATGACAACAGAGAAATATAAAGCCGTAAAACAGCTTATGAAATTGTATATGGAGGTCAGCAGAAACACATAGTCTACTTAACCACTTTAACAGTGCAGCTACTAAGGCTTAACCACCGATTCAATGAAGCAGCACTAAATAACAACACATCTATTCAGCCCAATAGGTGCATTTGTTGTATATAAAGAATATCACTGACTCATACGCAATCTGATTTCTACTCTGTATCTATAACTTCTCTTATTTAAAAAAAAAAAAAAAAAAAAGACTGAATGAACTACAGCATGAAAGACACAAAGACAACACACCGCCCCGTGTGATGACAAGAAGTAAGGAGCTGGAGAATGAAGATGATGATCCGCCTTAAGCTAAATAACAGCCCTGCTAACTTCAGTGGAAACCCTTGTGCGAGGAGCCCACACCAGACTGGTTTCCACTTAGGCTTGGTGTCGAGAGATCAGGCCAAACCAAAAACTCCTCTGGACCCTAGATAGATAGAGGAGAAGCATGAAGCAAACAGACAGCAGCTCCTTTTTGGGATTCGCCGCAAACCACCTCGATTTATAGGCGGCCAGAAGCAACAGAAACGACTGCATAATCAGGGGCAAGAAGCACGCTGGATGCAAAAAAGTAGAAGAAGCTCCCAGCCCAGTCAAATACCAGGGATGAACTTCACACCGCCTCTCTTCTCCAAACACCTACTGCCCAACACAGGTTGGTGAGCACAAATATGCACAAGCTGGCTAAAATAAATAAAGAACAACAACGCATCATCACACAATGCAGAGCTCTGCATTTGCATTACTGGAACAGCATCGAAAAATATGTTCAGATACTCTTCATTTTGTCTTCCTCCTCTTGTTTTTAAATCAGTATGACAGAGGGCTAACAGAGCCAAGGGTCACATGACCACCAGAGATCACAGGAACCCCCTAACCATCTGAGTAAAGTCTAGATTGTGATAATCCACTCATTAAAATAATTTGTTTTGCTCATCTCACCACTACAAAGTGGTTCATCCTAAAAGTAAAGCTCATCCTGTACTCTGCATTGTTAACTTTTAAAATCCCATTCCTTGTTCTGTTTGTTGCTGTAGGGACACCGGGCTAACTGCTATGCTAATAGAGAGAATTTCTCACGGGCCTGTGTACCTTACCTTGTATCTGTGGGATGTACGGTGCCAACAGCTTGCCTCTTTTCTTCTCATAGCCCTTCTGAGTGATGTCCCCTGTACAGACAGAGACAGAGGAACAGAGAGAGGGAGAGCAAAAGAGAGAGAGAGATGAGTCATTAGCTCAGCCGGGCTGGTTACACTGGCACCACAGAGCACCAGAAGCAGGTTGGGTTTGCAAATGACCAGCCCTCTCCTAATTGTTCATGTGCACTAGAGTTCAAAAAGAAAGAAAAATAACAGCTGATAAGTATGCTCGTGTGCAGAATTGCCTCTGAATAGCTCGATGGTGGTGTCAGCTGAGGAAGTGGTATTTAAAAAATCATTTGACTCGTGCATCTGGAATTTTTCCCCCCTCATTATTTTCCCAAAAAGTCAAAAATGCTGCTGTCAGCACTACGCGAGTCCGCCTCAGTCGGTCTCCACACAGTATGTTAAATAGGATCGGAGGCTGCGCGTCATTTAGTAGTCACATTTGAAAAGAGTATCAATGCGTAAGCTTTTCCATGCCTGGAAGTTAAATATAATAAATGAAGAAAGAGGAAAATGAGGTTAGAAGGAGGCAGACAGACAGAGAGAGGGTCGAGGTATTACATTAAGTACTAACGTATAGTATACGCTATTACTTAATGCGTCGCATACGTCGTATTCAACTGTGCAATGTTATAAGCAATAAAAGTATAATGCCATGAATATGTTTTCCTATTTCTATTAATTTCACACAAAGTGATGAAAGCACAAAAACATGAATCAAAGTAAAATCTTTGATGAGGCTACCTCTTCTCCAACATTTTTACATGTGACTGATGGCTTTTTCTTTGCAAGCATGAAAAGCTTGCTACTGTCCTTTTAATTTAGGCCATCTCAGTGTTTTCTCCCTCTACTTGTAATCCCACACTGAATGAATGATTTTCAGATCAGGGCTCTGCCAAGGTCAGACCATCTGCAACATTTCTTTACCAGCCACGCCTTTTCAGCCTTTTTTTGCTGCAAATCACATACAGCATCTTTTCAGGGTGACTTAAAAGCTTAGAAAAAGTGAACCCACCACTAAATGACAGTGTCACCAAAAGGCCAAAAATGTTGCAAGGCATCAGTGTCCACATGAGGTCTGTTCAAAAGACAGCAAAGTAGGTCGCTGAGTTCGGAGTGTTTCTGGCTCATGGGTGGTTCTGTGGTTGTAAAATGTCATTGTGTTTCTGTATAACAGGCACTGCTGTGGGCCAGGAGGAGGCTGACGGGGTGGAGACTTTTGTTGACAAAAGGCGCATTGATTCAATCAGAGAGGGCTGACTGACTGACAGCTTCTCTCTTCAAACACAAACCATCAGTGCACAGTTATGCTTCCATGTAACCTCTATAACAAGCTCCAACACCTCTGAAGATGGATGTAAACAAACAGAACTGGCAACAAAACTGTAAGAGAGGAGGTGCTTTGGGGAAAATGTGCCTGACAGACATCCAGGCTGTTTGTACAGCCAAGCAGACACTTGGTGCAACATATTCTTCTTTTAACCCTTTAGTAATGAACATAAAAGTCAAAGGAAGATTTCCATATCAGCTTCCACTGGGTTTTGGCACTTGAATAGATATCACACTGTGCTCTTTAAATCCATTTCTATAGGCTCTCAGTTGGGGTCATGAGGTTGGATGTCAAGTGTAAAGGATTTAGTCCACCATAAAGCTATCTGGGAAAAAAAAAAACTTGATTAAACGTCCTCTCGTGTGATTCTACCTTAGGGAATATTCATGGATCTTGCCTCTTTAATACAATCTCAGAAAAGGTCAATATTGTTTAACTTCAGCCTGGTCACACAGTGCATCCCATTTCTGTGCATCTACTTTAGAAATGTATTTAGTAATGTTGCGGTTATTCTAACAAAGTCTTCCCGTGGCTCGCTTTGCTTGTTGGTCTTTAAGCCTCTTAAACACAACAGTGCGACAGTGTGAGGACAGGTGTTGTCGGTCCCGCTGGTTGCCGCGCAGCGCGCTGGTCCTGAGTCACCAGTAACCGCAGAATGCCTGCACTGTTAAATGTGCAGGACAGACAGAGACCAGCAACAATACAGCGCTGTCCACGGGCCGAGTCGGCTGACCTGACACTGACTCTTTCTGGTGATAAGTTCTCAGTTTGTGTGTGTTTGTGTGCTCGTGCATCAGTACGTGTCTGCGTGTGTGCCAGCCTGTCTGAGTTTGCACACCACAGCAGCCAACCAGCTTGACAAGCACACAATGGACGGCTATTCTCAGCTCCAAATTCTCAGCCTCAGTGGCCAAGCAGGCCCTAGCACACCCCGATCCATCAAGTTATGTCTCAGTGAAGCTAATCTTTTGATCTGGGAACAAACAGCATAGTCATTACATATGGAGGTATTGAGTGAGCGACAGTGACCTCCTAAATCGAATCTAAAAAGCAAAACAAAGGCTGAGGCACCATTACAATATGTCCAATATAAGTGTGTATGTGTGTGTGAGTTTGCATATGTTTGCACATATGTGCATCGTTCAGACAGACACTTCATTTCCCCTTTCTGTCTGATCTTTGACTGCCTCCATAAGAGGAAAACGGGAGGGGTCAAGGGTCAATATGTGGCCTGCTGCCTGGGGAATAACAAAGGAGGGCGAGGATAGTAAGGTGGAGGGGCGGAGACAGATGGAAAGATGAACAGAGGGCAACGTAACATCTATGCTACACTGCACAGCCACAATGGATTCACAGTAACTTGCAGTATATTTACAGCAAAAGGGCAAACGCTCTTTTTGACCCCCTTTGACCTTCTGCACTTACAACAGTGCTGTGTACTGAGCAGTGAAGAAAAGACTACAACTCCAAAAATGCACCAGGGAGGTGAGACAAAAACTGAACTTGACAGGTCCAAAAATAAATAAATAAATAAATCAATAAAACATAAGAGGAAGGGATGAGAAAGACAGGGGGCTCAGCTGGAAAACCTTCTCTTTTTTCCCACTTCACCCCTCCACCATCACCTCTTCACCTTTATCTCAACCGCTGAGGGGTCGCCGTCCACACATACTAACCCTCCCTGTCATGTTGTTATCTCTAGACACTCTCTCGTTTCAAATAATGTCTCCAGCTTCCCAGAGGAGAAAAATAGAAACAACAGAGTGATATCTCTGCCCCATTTTTTCGAAGTATAAATGCTAGTCTTGTGAAGCTAACGTTCATCCATCTGAAGTGACAAAATGTCATTCATCTCAGGCCATAAGCTTTGTTCTTCCTGGCACATTACCCGATGCTATTACGGTCAACATTCCTCTCACCCAGGCCTGAATCCAATTTGGGGGGAGTAAAAAAAAAAAAAAAGGATAGATGGCCAATCTTGTGACATGCTGAACAGTGACAGAGAGAGAGCCTGCTATGCGTTATGGACTATAATTGACTGATGGCTATTGAGCATAATTGACTGATAGCTACTGACTGGAGACGTTTCTCCAATGAGGCCCATTAGAGAATTGCCCTGCATCTCCCCAGATGGAGCTCTTCAATCAGGTGGGAGAGATACTGAAACGCAGCACATTCCACTACAAGCCAGCACCAGCAAATCAGGGATATATATAATTAAACTTTGATTTACTTTAATGTGAAGAGTAACGGTACATCTGTAAGGTCAAACCCATCCTTTTGTCTTTTCTTTTAGATCCAAGGTGTCAACTCAGGCTCTCAACTCTGTCCTTTGGTATCACTTTCACGTGCAAAACCTCGAGCAAACAAACTAAGTAGGAAAGACAGCAGCTCTGAGTGTGTGTGCGTGTGTGTGTGTGTGTAGATGGCAGACTGTGTGCTTGCTTTTCTATGAGTGTACCAGGGAAAGAAGCACATGATAACATGTCTCGACCTACATAGAGTCTGATTCTGTTGTTTGTGGTTCTCAGATTGAGATGTTTTGAGTTTTTTCTTACCTCAGCTTCCTAATACCGTTCTTAATGAATCAGCTAATAGTTTGATTCATAAAACATTAGAAAAATGTGCGTCGACTTCATTTATAAGCACATTTTAAAATGAAATAAAAAAAACATGAAAAAACAAATACAACATTTCAGCCTGGTTTAAAAGTCAATTTTAAAAATTTGGTTTTAAAAAGCATCCAATATTTGAGAGGTCCATCGTAACCTCTTGATAAAATGCCTTTTATCTATAGCTTGCTTTGACTGATGAATCAAATATATTCATTTTATTATACCAGAAAAGGCAAAAAGAAAAAGTCTTCCATTCGAGTAGATGGAACATGGGGAAGCTTTATTAACCATATCGATAAACATATGCTGTGGTGATTAATGCTGTACAAATGTGTCCATTTTCCCCCCAACCAGCAGTCGAATAATTAAACCCCTTGTGCGTCTGCACCGCCCTCCCACCCTCTCTGAAGTGACCGCCAGCCAAGTAGGTGGCCCCACCCATCCGTAATGTCAGTTCCTGTGCCAGTCTGACCCTCAATGTGCCAACGCAGCTGCCAAGCCAGCAATCAAGCCGTCTGCCCTTCAGCCGCAGAAATCCACAGCTAAATATTTAGGCAGGACGGCGTTTGCTCTCTAGGCTCGTGTGATGATTCCAGCAAAAAGCAGATGTGGCCAGCTGTCACTTAGCATTAGCTCTCTGGCAAACAACTGTCAGTTTTCCACGCGTGGATTAAGCTTTACCCTAAACAGACGTTTAAATCTCATCACTTTCTCACTGCATATTTGCAGCCGATCATTTGAGAAGCCAAAGTGACCTGTTTGGGGCATTATTCCTGTCATCAGCTGAGCTGAAATGAGTATCTTCTCCTGTTTTTTTGGGGGTTTTTTTAGAAAACATTCCTGTCATTGCTGAGAAAACAGAGCGCAGACACAAAACGAGGATGAGATAGACGGATAGATGGAGACAGAGCAGCGCACCACAGGCTCGACCACACGTCTAGCTTAATAGGACGTCTAGAAGACAAAAACACTAAGCGAGCAGCAGGGAGAAAAAGTAAAATAAAAAGGATAAAGTGTACAGAGACCACAGCCGACCCATATTAAACTAAACCACACACACACACAAACAGAAAGAGAGG